AGATACCCAATGAAGTCATGATCCAAATGTAAAGTATCTGGTTCAAATCAGAACAAGAAATCAGTGGGTTTCATGAAGATAAGTGAAATGGATTATAAACAATAAAAAGAAAGAGTAAGAAGTTAGTAGATTTTTTTAAGGCATAAGAATCTTCTATTTTTTTTTTTTTAGAAAGTGTGAGAAACTCAAGGAAAAACAAAAAGCTATTTCAAAGTTATAATACACATCTGAAGGAAACTAAAAGGGAACGATTTTGAGGAACTGGTGACTTTCACGAAAGAGCTATCCATTTGAACATCTCTTTTAAGTAGCATAGAACCATGACATTGGAAACAGAAAGAAAGAAAAAGCTTTGCACTGAACAACATTTCCCTACTAATAATATAAAAGCTAAACATCAATTTTTAACAATTCGAGTCAACTTGCAAATATCAAGCATAGGAAACTTAATCTGATTATAGAGTAAACAAAAATGTTATAAAACTTGATGTTGTCAAAATAAAACTAGAGTCAACCCAAGATGGGAGGCAGAAAGAATAGAGAAGAAAAGGTAGAGCATAGCTGTGGAAGTGAGAACAGGTGATTACTGCTTTTCATTATAAATCTTTTATTCTATAGGCATTATTTTGAGAAAAATATCTTTGAATGTTTTAAGGAGTAAGCTGTTACCAGTGCAAATGCTACAAAGAGGCTAAGTGAAAAGGAGCTAGATTTGACCTCTAATGTCACAGATAGCCTTGAAAAGGACCATTTCACTAGAATACCGGAATGGAAACCAGAGTGTGGTGGGTCGGGAAATGAAAACTTGAAGAGGACAAGTTATCCACCAGAACTCTAAGGACAGAAGAAAAGAAAGATTGCTAACAAGAGGAATTAAAAGGAAAGGGAAGGTTGTTGCTGCTATTTTTATTAACATGGGAAAAAACCTGAGCATGTTTTTAATTTGATTGAGGTGAAGAAGGGATGACAGGTGATGAAATCTAGAGTGCAGGGTGAGGAATCAGCCTTGTAGAGAAGAAAGGATATCTATTGTGAAATGCAAAGAAACCAGGTAGGGAGGGGGCTTCCCTGGCGGCTCAGCAGTCAAGAATCCGCCTGTCCTGTGTCATAGACTCAGACGTGACCGAGTGACTAAGCGTGCAAGAGGTAGGCAGGATGAGACAGGGAAGCAGAAAGGTGGTGAGATCCAGCTAACAGGGTCACAGAGAGCTTCTATCCACCAACAAAGTTTATTTTGACCACTCTCAGTACACTGCAAGTTCAACTGGAAAACAATCAAATGGGAAATAAGGGGGGGGGGGGGAAACATAAAAATTAGCTGACATTAGACATTATGCCATCCAAAGCTGGGTGATCAATGTAAAAATGTATGCGCCAAAATCAGTATTTTAAATTTGGGGGTAACATCAGCTGTATCCTCTGAATTATGAATTAAGGTCACTACCTTCTGTATTTCAATTCTAGAACTACTTTTTTCCCCTGTGTTCTGTGTTTTTCAAATTAATCTACTTACTATGGTAGGTTGTTGTTTGGCTACTAAATACTACAAATAGAAATCTATGTTGATGACAGATTTTTAAAATGTACCTTGAATAACTAGTTCTTTTTCAAATGAGTTAACATGAATTAACAGGAAAAAATGGTTGACGTTATTTCAAAATGTAGAGACCTTAGCAAAATTTATCCAATGCTTTTTGCTTTTTAAATTTCTATTAATGAACCTTCTATCCTAAAGTGATTCTTCCTCTAGGCAATTATGCTGCTGAAACAGTATTATGTTACTCCATGTCTGGCTTACTCTAAATAACCTGAAGCCTACAGACAGACTTTAATAAAATGAATGCATATTTTTCCTCCAAAGGTTTTACTTTAAATTATAACTCAAGTCATTATTTTGAGACCACAAAAATATGTACCATCATTTAAAATGAAACAACAGCAAAGGGTATTTTGAAGCAAGCTGACCGGGTTAAAAAGTCCTGGGAACAGAACTAAATCTGTGATGACCACTGATATGCATGGGTCATCACTAAGGCAGCCCCAGCTTAGGAACACGAGGATGGCAGGGAAAAATCTCAGTGAGCTTAAAGGGAAGTATTTGTTGAGCAGTTTCCATTGTGTGTCCTGGATTACTGGAACATGATATGGTCAGTCTCTACCGTAATACCACTCAAACCAGACTGAAGGTTGTTTACAATACCCTGGGCAATTTGAAACTTTGAGATTTCAACAATGGCATCAACTGACTAAAATGCTTTGAGTAATGTAATCAACTGTGATTTATTACCTCACATGAATGTGTTTCTAGCTTATAAATAGGCTACCACTGATCCCTTTTATCTCACACATAATTAAAATAATGAATTTGTGGTGTTGGTATCAGTCAGTATTAAAAAATTACAAAGCATGTTTTAGAGTTGAAATAAAACTTCATTTCCATCATCTCATCAGCCACCTTGCTGTATCAGTCCACAATCATTGCCATTCTGCCTATTTCTGGTCCTCAGTAAGTCTCATTCATTAGTCTTACCCTTGTCTCTAGAAGCCTTCCTAAATCCCAGCCTATTTGTGTATCCTTGGTATAGTCTTCAATGTATCTTTCAGGATAACACTTCTATGCTTTTTTTCTATGTTGGTGCACCCACATATGTTGTGTTCACACTCTTGATTATTTATTATTCTGATCTACTTTTTGATCCACTCTCGCATGCTGACATTTCTCTCAGGTTGAAATCCAGATTTAACTTCTGGATTAGCTTTCTTCTATGCTATCCTAATGAAACTGCTCTGTACTTTTATACATGAACTGCTTGCTTTGTTTCTTAGAGGAAGAAAACGTCTTCCCCTAAGAATTACCAGTAACACTGGCTTCATTCAAATCTTTGCTTCTGAGCTCTTAAGAACTGGCTTTTATTACACTCAAACTGTTTGTTTTCTATTAGGTTCCACTCTCTAGATACCAGGTTGCTTCTTCTCTACTCTACTTTTCCTCAGTTCTTGGCTGCTTAAACTGTTTCTAGAACAGGCTGTCCTTCTTCAACTTTTCCACTTAAAAATTCTGATTATCTAAAATTTAATTCCATTTTCTTATATTTTCTAATTCATATATTCACTGTATCACTGAGGAAGCTGAAATTAAGTATATATTACTCATCTGAGCTAATAAGTTCAGAGCACACATACACACAAGTGTAGAAGAAAAGAAAAAAACCTAAATAAATTCTGGTTCTCTTTCTTATCTAGTTTAAGCCTTATAATCCAATGATTCTGCTCAAATTGAACTCTCTCTATGCATAACCAAAAGCATCCATCACTGTCTACAAAGTCACAAAGAGATATTAGGAAGAAAAAAGGCAGGAGGTATATGTACAATCCATGCACATATATTTAAATCACATATTGCCCAAGAGTTTTCCCTCATAAAAGTAAACAACTTTTCTGTAAATGATATTTACATGTGTATACGACACACAATTAACTTGCTCCCAAGTTAACGGTTTAAACAGCTAAAAATCAAAACTTTAGAAACCAGGCTTGATTTTCATGAGTCGTAGCCCATAAAACCAAACATTCCACAGAAACAAATGAAAACAAAAGCTATTAATAGCACTGTGTGTTGAATTTGACATGGATCATCCTAAGAGACCACAACTGAAAAGTAAAACCAGCAAAAGAACCCATGTCAAACCACTGTCATGGGAAGTGATACACAGAGGAAATGAGAGTAGGGGATGGGGAAAAAGAAAGAAATGTAAAATAAATCCAGAAGAGGCCTTTATGAACCAATAATGACCAGAGTCGGACACGACAGAGCAATTAACACACTGGTCAATGACCAACAGCGACACTTGCCAAGATCTGGATGACATAATTAACTCAACTCTTTGCACTGGAGGGCAAAACAAACCCAAACAACAGGAACTCCATAAAAGTAACATGTCTTCCCCTAAATCCCAAAGAAAACAATTCACCATTAAAACATTTCTGATGTACGATCACAAAGTGACACAATTAGCCACCTTGAAGATCAACCCTAAACAAAACAGCAAAGACTTACACCCAGAGTAAATAAAAACTTGAAGGAAATTACAGAGGCACAACAGGAGAAACATCTTCCTAACAGTCATCCTTCTACCATACTGTCCTATTATTTCAGGTATTCATGCAGAGAATAGTCAAATCAATGATTACCCAGAAAACATATTTTCACTCAATGGCAGTTGGCCTCAATTCCTTCTTGGATCTCTTTTCTCAAAAAAAAAGAGGATATAATTTTATATACAGAAAACAATCAAGAAACATACCTGTGTGTTCCTTAGCAAGGACAGAGGTCAAAAGGAAAAGCTTAAGATTCATAGACAAAGAATATTGTGAACTGATACAAACTGCATTAGCTGGAAGAAAATATTTATAAAACTAATTCTTTCAGACAATTTTGACACTGAATTGAGTATAGTATACCATACTTCAAACACCTGTTCTCCTTAGGCCCACAGGTTCAAACATGCATAGGTGATTTTATTTGCCTAAAACAACAGATGGCTTCCCAGGTGGCACCAGTGGTAAAGAATCTGCCTGCCAATGCAGGAAATGTGAAAGGAGTGGGTTCCATCCCTGGGTTAGGGAGATCCCCTGGAGAAAGGAATGGCTACTCACTCTGGTATTCTTGCCTGGAAAATCCCCTGGACAGAGGAGCCCGGAGGGCTACAGTCCATAGGGTCACAAGGAGTCAGACGTGACTGAAGCAAGTTAGCACACCCGCACACAAAACCCCAGGTAAACTGATGCCACACAGCTAAGTGGAGGAAGTTGAAAGAAATCCCATTCCATGAAAAGTGATGTTTTCTTTTAAAGTAGCAACACTGTGCTTTTAGCCAAACAAATACTTAGCCATCTTATTGTTCCAGGCACAAATGGTCATTTCAGAGACACCTGTGAATTGAGCAGAGCCCTGAAACATTCTCCCACTAGACGCTTGATTTTTCCGTTTCTTCCCTTACCTGATAATGAGCCTGGGCTTGCTGCGCTGAGTTCAAGGTGACATTGCAGAGCTTGCAGTACAGTGGTTTACACAACTCCTCCAGGGCAGAGTCTTGTTCCCCTGCCTTAGGTGGCTCTTCTTCCCCAGCCAAAGGCAAGGAAGCCTCCTGCCCAAAAGGCTTCTGTGGTGGAAGCTGCAAGGCCCCTGTAGACCTGGCGGCCACTGACATAGGAGGAGAGGATGAGGGCCGCTTAGGCGGAGGAAGCCCGGCGTGTTGCAAGAGGATCATTGGGTAGGAAAGCCTTGGGCATCATCCAAAGGATGAGGAGAAGTCAGGTCTTCAAATCTGAATCAACAGCAAAAATTGAAAAAAAAAAACCAAACTTAAAAACATGTTATCAGCAATATGACATGTAAATGACCACATCATGGGTTCCTTCCTCTGCTTCTCCAAATCATCTTTGGGACTCCCTTTCTTTTCCCTCATCCAGCACACTTCCCCCGTCTGTTAATCCACATTGACACCACACTCTTCCTCGGAGAAGAGCTTTATGGATTTGGCTTGATTTTGCCTGGCACAGCTCCAACTGCGGTCCCTCTGGCCCATGAACATTAATAGCATTGCATCCATGGCTAATTAAATCTAAAAGTCACATGACTGAAATGAACATCAAAGGTCACCCAGTCCAGATCCCTTCCCTCAGGCACACTTATAACACTCTTGATGATAATCATGCATAGACCAAAAAAAAAAAAAAAACCCACCAGCAAAGAACCTCAGCAAATATCCCCTTTTCATGCAAACTAGTCTTTCCATCCAAACAATATCAAAAACAGTGAAATCAAAAGTGTCACTGCTCAAACTACTGCAAACACTTCTAGAACTAGCTTAACTATCCAGGAACTCTACATAGCTAATAGCTAACATTAGACATATACTCTAGTATCTTGGAAAAACTCTTGAGTCACTATGTGACAAAAATAAATAAACATGTACCTTCTGATCAACTAGTAATACCAAAATAATTGATCTAATGAATCTTCAAAGTGGAGGTTGCAAACAAACAACCTGAAGGCCACAGGCAGCCACAGACGTGCTCTGTTTGGAATATACAGTGTTTCATTTTGCTTTCATTTTTAAATTGAATTGGTTGTCAACATTTTAAAATCAAAAGATTTGTGGCTGATCTTGATAAAAGAGGGATCTGACAACACTTGGATGGTAGTCCTACATGGGCAACAACAGCCAGTTAGTATTGAGAGGCACTGTCCTGGGTACCCAAGCTTGTCTTCTCTAGGCCACCTCAAGGGCCCACTCAGCCTGCTGATTTATTCATATTACATGCCTGTGCCCCACAGGCTCGAGTTGAAGACACCACCTCATGGAGCCTTAGATTGTATTTACTCAGTTCAGTCAGTTCAGTCGCTCAGTCGTGTCCGATTCTCTGCGACCCCATGATGTAAGCTGAGTGCCGAAAAAAAAAAAATGATACTTTCTTGTATGCATTAGTCTCCTATAAAATCAGAGTATTTTCTTTCTCTCTCTAGAGGTAAATTTTGAGATAAGGATTTTAATTTGGGTTAATTGGAATCATGGGAACTCAAAGCGCATAGTGTGGTTCCTTTTGAGATACTCAGGGTTAGAAGTTGCCATTTAGGTCGGAGGCAGGAGAAATGGGTGAAACTGAAGAGGGATTGGAACATACTGGGTCTTTTCTGAGGGAAACAATAGAGACTACAAGGGAAAGCAAACAGTTGACAGACCGAGGAACTAAAATTATACTGGGGCCCTGGCAGTATGATCCAGTACCCCACTGGACGCTTACTTCATGCACTGTTTGATGTAGGCAATTCTCCAGGCCAGAATACTGGAGTGGGTAGCCTTTCCCTTCTCCAGAGGATCTTCCCAACCCAGGGGTCAAACCCAGGTCTCCTGCACTGCAGGTGGATTCTTTACCAGCTGAGCCACAAGGGAAGCCCAAGAACACTGGAGTGCGTACCTATCCCTTCTCCAGGGGATCTTCCCGACTCAGGAATCGAAATGGGGTCTCCTGCACTGCAGGTGGTTTCATGACCAGCTGAGCTATGAGGGAAGCCCCTAACCCTGAGTATCTCAAAATGAACCACACTATGTGCTTTGAGTTCCCATGATTCTAATTAACCCAAATTAAAATCCTTATCTCAAAATCCTCTATTCCTTCCACTTTCAATACTATTAAAACCTCTTTCTGGTCAATAGAATATAGCTATTTTAAGGGCTGAAATTTTCCACCTGCAATAGAAAAGTGTAAGTTTTATGATAATATAAATTATAATATATATTATATTATATATTATAATAATAGATTTACTAAAATCAACCAAGAACAATTTTGAAAAGTTAAGTCTCTTTTACCACATTTAATAAGTATCTACACCTGTTAATTGCAACCAAATAACAGTTTTTGTACTAAATTCAGGCTCTTAAAGCAGAAGTTATCAAGTGCAATGGGAAAATAATATACTAAATGGCAAAGTACATATATCATTAGTCATAGTATTCAACAATATTTCTCATTAAGCATAATATTTAGAAAAACAATAATGTTATTTTACTCTCAAGCAGAAGTATGCTGTCCACACCTCTGAGAATATTTTTTAAAAAGCAATACAGATTTAGAACATTTAAAAAGTCAGGTTCTCTATAATCACATTATTCCTCTGAATTAAACCAAGTGAAGACATTCAGAAAGCAAAGGCAAATACGGATATTTTAAAAAAGAAAACTATGGGGACAAAGACCCCTTTTTAAAAAGTTTAACTACCTAATCATAACAATTAAGTAATATTAAAAGACTACATATACCCCCTGTACAGAGACAAAAGGATACCAAAGTGCAGATGACAAGCTTCCAGCTCAGAGATAAATGGTGGAGGAAGATGTTAAAACATCTGGATAAAGGAAATAAGCAATATAAAGAGAAAATCAAATGTTACCAATGGCCTAGACATGTCTGGACTTGTTTTATAAAAGTTCACTCCCACTTGAGGAAATACCAGCATGTGTCTCCCCCAGCTCTGTCTGCAGGCTTCCATCAAAATAAAGGCCTGATAAAATCTCCCGAATTGAAGAAACAATTCTCATACAGTACAGACTTACCCATTATCACATTTTATCTTTTAATGTTTAAAGAATAGCTAGATAGTCCAAAATTCTTTCTTGTAAATATTTAACAATCAAAATGATGTCAACTCCCCCAAAAGTATCTTTGCAAGACAATTACATCAGGTATTACTATACTTGCAAAAAAAAAAAAACTATCATAAAATAAAAATCTAAAAATGAAGCCTTCAGTGAAAGCAGATATGGTGGAATATAAAGAGATTCAAAGCATATAGGACTCACGTCTGTTCAACTACTACATTAGATTAAAAGAAACTAACTTGATGCCTGATGTAAATAAAATATTCCTCATCATAAAAGCCACTCAATTTGATCCTTGAAGTAGCATAAATGAAGGATTTATGGTGGTTAATGTCCTGGTATGGAAGGGGTTGAGGGGACAATACAAAGCTTCTCAGTCGGCCCTGTTTAAAGAAAAGCAATGATCATATAGCATAGTTTTCATGATCGAATTGGGGCCTACTCTTCACATACTGCATTAAAGACAACCACTTTCTCATTTGGAGAAATCTTCGGAGGAAAGGAAACACAATAAGGGAACAGGTGACTGGCACATCAGGAAACTAGGGAAGTCTGTAACTGGGTATTCCAAAAATGAGGGAAAGACGGGTGAGCATTATTCAGAGGTCATCAGAACACAGCGAGAAGGAATGAGAGAGGAAAATAGAAAAATAATCAGTTGTAAGGTATATCACAGAAGGAAGACCCAAAAGAACGCAAGAACCTGGGGAAGAAGAGGCCTTGGTGAATTGGCGAATGTTCTCCAATCTCAGTTATGACGGGTCCGAATCCTAGGAAACCTTTCACGTATTTGAATCAGAGCTACATATACTTCAGCATTGTCCACATATATCTTACAATTCTAAAACGTGCATGCATACACATGAGAGCGCACTCACATATACATACATACACACATACACACGCACGCACGCACCTCAATCCCGTGAGGATGCCATCACGAAAGATGGAATCCCGGGTCTCCCACGGGGCGGGGACAAGCGCTAGGGCTAAGGCAGCCGCACGCCTAGAGGATCCGAACAGTACACGTGAAATGCTTTAAAAACAAACAGATAAATAAAAGCACCGCAAGCCGGTCACGTGGAGGGCAGGTGGAAAGACCGCACCGGAAAGAAACTGCAAGCCTGGTCGCTCCGGTGCTCGTCCTAAATGTCCCGAGGCTCGCGATCGCCCGCACTCACCGGAACCCCCAGACGCGCCGGGAGTCTAGGTGCCGCGCCTGCCCCGGACGTCCGCCGCCGTCCGCCCTCCGCGCCCGGCTCGGCCCGATTCTACTTCACCTCCCTCCGCGCAACTTTCTCGGCTGGCCCGGCAGAGCCCCCTCCACTGCTGAAGGCTGACTGTCAAAAGTCAGTCCAACCGGACCCACAGGGAAACAGCTGCAGGAAGTGACTGCGGAATCGGGAGGCGGCGGAGGAGGAGACTGAAGGCGCCGGCCCGGCGTCTCCATTGCGCATGTGCCTGGTGGAGCGGGGCCCGCGGCGGCGGCGGAGGCTCTAGCTCGCGGGAGGGTGGGGTGCGCGCGGGTGGGGTGCGCGCCCCGCAGGTGCAGGGACAGTGAGCGCAGCGGCTCTGGGCCGGCGTGGGGAGCAAAGGCATGAGTCACAGGGAGGACGCACCACCGCCTGTCCTAAGAGTTTGTTCATCGTATAACCTGGAAAGTTGATCCAGAGAAGTTGATCCAGAGAAGAAACCTGGGCAGAGTTTTCGCAACTCTCAGGGATCTCCTGTCCCTGAGATCCGAACCCTTTTTCATTCCAGCCCTGCCCTCCGTCCGCTGATTGCCTGCTAAGAGTGGCAGAGGGGAGCTGCCAGAATATCCAGAATCGTCCCACCTGCTGCGACAGGACCTTTAAACTGCTCCTTTCTCCAGGATGAAGGAAGAATAGCGCGCGGCTGCCAACTCAGAGGTCTCCAATAACAAGAAAATACAGACGCAGACTTGCCCTCTAAGCAACATCAGAATTGGCAAGAGATAGAGAACTTCTCTGGCACACCGCCACTCCCCACCTCACCCTCAAGCTCACCTGCATGATAGGAAAGACTAGGAAGAGATTGGCTAAGGCTATAATGTCACATCCTCTCATAGTCAACCTCAGCACATT